CTACTGCAAATATCTTCATTTCTAAATTTATCACGCAGAGAAATTTCGAGCATAGCCCGCTCCATAGCTCGCTGAGCGACCTTAAGCTTCCTCATCCGGCCAGCAGTGAAGGACTACGTTTCAGATCCATAAGTCATCACTGCCAACACACACTGGTTGTACAGTCTTGTTTTCAAGTTTTGAGGTATACCTGACGATTTTCACGTGCCGTAATTTCCAGAACGCTGCCCAGCCGAATTGAATCCGTTGATTGACCTCTCGGTCGAAGTTGGACTTACCTAGTCGGACTAGTTGTCCCAGGTAAATATACTCGTCAACAACTTCGAGCATAGTGCTCCTAACAACTACTAGCATAGGTGTGACGTGGACGTTATACATGATCTTCGTTTTGTCCATATTCATCTTAAGATCTATCCGTAGGGAGGCACTATTGAGGATATTGATCATAGTGCTTAGGTCCTCCAGCGATTCTGTCATAAAGAGTACATCGTCGGCAAATCGAAGGTGAGTATTGTACTCGCTGTTGATGTTAATACCGTATATTTTCCAGTCCTGAAGGTTAAAACGTCATTCAATGCAGTGGTGAAGTGTTTCAGGGATATAATGTCACCCTGTCTTACACCTCTCTACAGTTAGTGGCGCGAATTGGACGAACAGGCTTAACACTGTTAAATTAAATTGATAAACCTTATCATTTACATGAAGTAATTGAGGCATAGAATCCCAGTCGATCCTTTCCATTTTGAAATTAAAACTATCATGATTTATGTCTTTCACTGGACGATACATGGACTGAATTGGTTGACATTTTGGCTTATTGATTTAAAAAAAAAACATGTAAATGTTAAGAAATCATGATTACTTATAATAGCCTGATAACAACTGTTAATAATAAAAAAATGCGGTGGCCGCCTGCCAAGCGTGGCAACTATGGAAAAATCTCCACTATGACGTAATCTATGTGGGAGACCTATGTTCAGCAGTGAATTTTATAGGCTGTAATGTATGGACGTCGATTACCGCACGGAGCAATAATTTCTAGGGCCTAGAAATTATTATTCCGGGTCTGGCTGTTTATTGCTTTATAATTCATGTAAAATCTTTTACAAAATGTACTTCGCAAATATCCGCGTTATAAAATAAAATGATGTGTCTTACCTAGTATGAAGAAGCACCTCCCGCCCTCCCTCAATTGCGTGCACTATCCCCGTCACCACTAATCCCAGCACCGCTACTTCCAACACCACTACACTAGACAAGACACACCACTGACGATAATACGACACGTGTTTCGCCTCTACACGAGGCATCCTCAGGTGATATAGACTCTACGGTGGCTAACCGCTAAGTGAGCGGCGAGCCAAAACAAGTGCCTTTTATACAAACCGATGATGCAACCGCTCTCCACCTAAGTAGCGGGCGACTACGTCATGCGATAAAACATGCGACCAATCACCGCTGGACTTACGCAGCCGTTTGTAAAATTAAAAACAAACCGCCGCGCAACGCCCACATTATTAGAGAGCAGGCTTGAAAATATTTAAGAGAGGTGAGTTAGTAACATTTGTTTGTTCATTCAGCAATGCAACGGTGTTATTATTACTTTTTAATATCTCTAACTGTTCCAGCACACACAGCCGCAGCCCTTTATTACACGTATGTAAGACTTTAAAGGAGTGGTCGTTGGCTAGGTTGTGTCCAGTGTCCAAAAGATGTTTGGCAAAATGGGATTTATCGGGATTGCAATTCCTGTACGCGGCTATATGCTCTTTATAACGTGTCTCGAAATTGCGACCAGTCTGACCCACGTAAACGGCGTGGCATTCGTCACAAATAAGTTTGTAAACACCTGACTTTTGACGAATATCCAACTTATCTTTACTATTACAGATATTTCTAAGAGAATTGTTTGTTTTGAACGCCACATGAACGCCGTTTTGTCGAAGAGTATTAGCTACTTTTTCAGATATGGGGCCTAAGTAGGTCAAACTGCTCACATATCGATGAACACTTTGAGGTTGAACCGCGTACAGAGAGTTGCGAATTACATGCTTTTGTTTCTTTTTAATTAAATTGTTAATGAGATTTTTTGAAAAACCGTTAGAGACCGCTATTTGATAAATTATATTAAGTTCTTTTAAATAATTTTCTTTACTTAATGGGACAGTGAACAAACGGTTAATGTAACAATAAAAAGCGGCTACTTTATGTTGCCATGGATGACATGATGACGCGGGGATGACCGTGTCGGTGTGAGTTGGCTTTCGATAAATTTGGAAAACATGTGACGATTCTTTTCTTGTTATTGTTAAGTCAAGAAAATTAAGGGAACAATCTTGTTCCAATTCAAGTTTAAATTTAATTTTGTCATGGACTCTATTTATTTTATTGAGGAAAACATCCAGTTGTCTCCTTGTGCCAGTCCAGCAAATAATTATGTCGTCTACATATCGATAGTAATATAAGATATTTTGATTGACAACTATATGTTGTTTTTCGAAATTATCCATGAAAATGTCCGCCATAAGGGGACTTAGAGGGGACCCCATAGCTAACCCTTCTTTTTGTAGATAGAAACGGTTATTAAACCGGAAATAGTTTTGTTTCATACAGAGAGAGGTTAAGTTAAGAAGATCATTTGTTTCCCCGGGATGTAGACGACGTTTTTCAAAGAGATCTGCGAGTATACGCAAACAGTCAGGGGATGGGACATTTGTGAAAAGACTATCAACGTCTAAAGATAACAATATGGATTTAGGAGGAATACGAATATCTTTAATTTTGGAAATGAGATCTAAGCCATTTTTTAGGCTGTAAGTGGGGTTGAATCCAGATTTCTCTCGAAGGAGGAAGTTTAATTTTTTAGCAAGGAAATAAGCTGGTGCACCAATATATGAGACAACTGGACGAATAGGAACATGTTCTTTATGTATTTTTGGTAACCCATATAAAATGGGTGCTTGAGGATTCATTGGAACAAGATTGCTCCGAGACAAGTTGTGATCGGGAAAAACATATGATGATTTTTGTATACATAACTTAATATCCGAAGTAAACTTTTTGGTTGGGTCAGACTCCAATAGCTCAAAGTCATCACCTTGGATAACATCGTTAACTTTCTGGCTGTACCCACTACTCTCCATAATAACAACAGTATTGCCTTTATCGGCTTTAGTAACAATAAGGTCGTTTTCCCTTATTCTCTGCTTTAGGGACTTAAAAACAGGGAACTCAGGATTGAAATGGGAAGACGCGGGCACAGCCCGAATTTCATTAGCTGCCAAACTTTTAACGATGTTATCTTTCTTCCCGATCACAACAGCCACCTCCGCGTCAACAGCCATTGTCTCTAACGATTTTTGGGAGACCGAAGGTGTTAAATTATACTTTAGGCATTTATGTAAAAGGGACAACTCATCTGTTGGAAACTGGACATCGGAAAGATTTTTAACTCGGGGATAAAATTGGTGATATTCTGTATATATGTTGTTATTACGATTACGGGTTGAAGAGGATACAAGTCGTTGTAATTTACGGGACTGAATTTGATATTTCTCATAAACAGCCATTGAAGCAAGTTCTCTGGCTTTCTCATCCAAAATATCAAATTGTTGAATGAACAAGATTGTTCCCTTAATTTTCTTGACTTAACAATAACAAGAAAAGAATCGTCACATGTTTTCCAAATTTATCGAAAGCCAACTCACACCGACACGGTCATCCCCGCGTCATCATGTCATCCATGGCAACATAAAGTAGCCGCTTTTTATTGTTACATTAACCGTTTGTTCACTGTCCCATTAAGTAAAGAAAATTATTTAAAAGAACTTAATATAATTTATCAAATAGCGGTCTCTAACGGTTTTTCAAAAAATCTCATTAACAATTTAATTAAAAAGAAACAAAAGCATGTAATTCGCAACTCTCTGTACGCGGTTCAACCTCAAAGTGTTCATCGATATGTGAGCAGTTTGACCTACTTAGGCCCCATATCTGAAAAAGTAGCTAATACTCTTCGACAAAACGGCGTTCATGTGGCGTTCAAAACAAACAATTCTCTTAGAAATATCTGTAATAGTAAAGATAAGTTGGATATTCGTCAAAAGTCAGGTGTTTACAAACTTGTTTGTGACGAATGCCACGCCGTTTACGTGGGTCAGACTGGTCGCAATTTCGAGACACGTTATAAAGAGCATTTAGCCGCGTACAGGAATTGCAATCCCGATAAATCCCATTTTGCCAAACATCTTTTGGACACTGGACACAACCTAGCCAACGACCACTCCTTTAAAGTCTTACATACGTGTAATAAAGGGCTGCGGCTGTGTGTGCTGGAACAGTTAGAGATATTAAAAAGTAATAATAACACCGTTGCATTGCTGAATGAACAAACAAATGTTACTAACTCACCTCTCTTAAATATTTTCAAGCCTGCTCTCTAATAATGTGGGCGTTGCGCGGCGGTTTGTTTTTAATTTTACAAACGGCTGCGTAAGTCCAGCGGTGATTGGTCGCATGTTTTATCGCATGACGTAGTCGCCCGCTACTTAGGTGGAGAGCGGTTGCATCATCGGTTTGTATAAAAGGCACTTGTTTTGGCTCGCCGCTCACTTAGCGGTTAGCCACCGTAGAGTCTATATCACCTGAGGATGCCTCGTGTAGAGGCGAAACACGTATCGTATTATCGTCAGTGGTGTGTCTTGTCTAGTGTAGTGGTGTTGGAAGTAGCGGTGCTGGGATTAGTGGTGACGGGGATAGTGCACGCAATTGAGGGAGGGCGGGAGGTGCTTCTTCATACTAGGTAAGACACATCATTTTATTTTATAACGCGGATATTTGCGAAGTAAATTTTGTAAAAGATTTTATATAATGGATTTCCGCAAAGTAACGCCTGATTCTATTAATTATATTATAATTCATGGTTCGTTTACGCTTTCACAATATAACAGAAAGTCCTAATATGGTTGTACCTTCTTACGACAAGAAAAAAAGGCATTATATAGAATATTAATTTATTTAGAATCCACAATGATTTGTAAAAGGTGTGATGGTGGCACATCTAACAAATAGTCGTTTACGGTGGGCACAACATAATCCCACAGCGCTTTGACTATCGTACTATGATATTCTGCAAGAATTTGAGCGCCTTCAGTATTTAGTAATACATATATTGGCCACGAACTGTTCTGGAGATCAGCCTGAAAAAATAAAAAAGATTATACAAATACTCTGAACGCACTGGCATTACGCATATAGCCCCGACCGATCACTGACGCTGTCTTAGGCTTTTAGACTTACTCTTGTAAGACTTTACTGTTCTCTGACAAAATTACGTCATCATTATCATCATAATTTTATGCCATCATAACTTCATCCCTGAACATATGCTAGCCCCACGGACTTTCACAAAACACGATCACCAGCATACATCGACTTCATGCAAGGCTTATCAGGTCGTTAATCCATCTACACAAACATACGAACAGATTCACACACTACTAGGTGATAGAACCCTTTTTCTGCTGAGATTCTGCCTGGGTAGGTACCACTCACTTAGCTTTTCTGCCACCAAATAGCATTGCTTGCATTAATGTGTTTAGGTCTTAAGAATATAGCCAGTATAATTATAGACTGTCAGATCTTCTTCGTCTTAGTCCTCAGAGATGACAACCCACTTGTAGCCTTTTTTGTTCAAGGTTAGCTGCAGGTGTCCATGGACTACTGTTAACATTTAGCCAGCAGGTAGATTGAAAGTTTTTTTTATCAGGTAAGCCTTATAAAAACACACCCAAATACACACACACTACTGTACTCTAATACAGACACGCATACGCTGGTCTATTTTAATGTTAAGTTTAAGAACTCACCGCAACACCATATACGCCACAGAACGTTTTCAGCTAAGGCTTTGCGCTTAGGTTAAAGCATTAGTTGTGAGCATTGGGCAGGTTGACTGCAGCGTGCATAACAGTCATATGATCTTCTGTTACAGTGTTCTAAGTGGCAACCGCTCAATATGAATGCCGACTGGACTATTGCCACATACCGCAAAATCTTGCTAAATATATAAAACAAACGCTTCATAATCACCTATGACTCCCACATGCATAGGTTTTTGTATCTATGGGACGGTGTCGTTTTATGTGTGAGTTAATTAAATAATAACACGTACGTACGTTTCTCGGATTAGACCAAATTAAGTGTCTTTTGAAATCCGGCCCGGGTGAGGTAAGTCGGATCGACGTGAGCGTAGTTCTATTATGTATTCATTATAATATTAGATGGACCTTAAGGCTTTTAAGTAGGTATTGAATCACTTTATAAAGCCTTGCTCGGCAATTTTATGATATAAAAAATATATGTTACAAAAACCGAGGTCAAAAACATTCCTTTCCGAGTTTTACTGTGATGAGGAATTGCTTATAACTTCGTTCTCTTTATCTGTTTGAACATGTCAGAGCATCGTAACAGATTTTCAACGAATTAGTTATTTAAGAGGAGTTAAATTTAAAGGATTATATTCTTTCGATGGATGTCTATATTCTAAGAAAAGAGAATTAGGGAGTTAAATGTGTTTACCTCTATTTGTTTTACATCGAAGTTTAATAAGAAATCGTGTATTCTTGTACCGCCTCTGTCAGATGCAAACCGCGCCGTGGCGGTAATTATAGAATTTCGGAAGACCAGACTGAAATCAATAAATCAAACTTAGATGAATGCTATTTTATATATTTTATTTTTATTTTAAAACTTTTATCTACTAGAAATTGAATTACTTACTTCATCTTCCCCGATCCTCTAAGTGGATATACATAATAAGCCCAGCCGGTCAATTTGTATTGTTCTGAAAAAAAAAGCACTTATTAGTGTTCTCCTTGATTATTATACTCATTTAAGAGAATTTTCATAAATAAGATAAGGTTTTAGCTGTAGGACCTCAATTATCTATTTTGATATTGTTTCATTATTATATATGTCCACGATAATGAAAAATAAACATGTATCTGTTTGATTTCTTAATGTGTTAACACTGAAAGGATCTCTCAATACCAAGAAAAAAATCTTACAAACACTATAATCTCGTTAACATAGATGTAAAATACTCGAACTAGAAGGGGTAGCAGCGTGAAAAGTGTCAGAAGGCAATTAAACCCCACAACGGGAAAAGTCCACTATGTAATGTTTCGTTTATCGATCACTAGAATTTAGCATTGGTCGAAAACGTGACTGCCGAACATGTTACCCGTGGTTCGAATCCTGGGTCAGCAGGAACTCAGAGTCAAACAGTGTGTCAGCGCCATACCTCGGAAATTACGTAAAGCCGTTAGCCCTGAGTCTGTTTTCTCTCCGGTCGTACCGGATTACTGTCTTATCGGGCTATGATAGGAAGTGAACAGAGATACATTATTTAATAACTATATAATATTATCTATGTTACTTTTAAATAAAAATACATGTATTAGATATACTACTAATATTTATATAAATAAAGCATACCAGAACGAAGGGTTAAGACTGGAAAAAGTAATGTTAAGGATACTTCTAAGGATTTTTCTGACGCAGCAATATTTTTGATAGAAAATTGCTTGAGACCAGTAAGTTCCATGTCGCCAATCGAGTAATCCATCCTGATTAAAAAGAGCTTTTTTTATTTTATGATATATATATATATATATATATAGAAATAGCTTGAATTAAAATTGCAATTAAAAATATTTAATTTTTTTATAGGAGTGGGGCAATCAAGCATACGGCTCACCTGATGGGTAAGTGACTACCGCCGCTCATGCACAACTGCAACACCAGGGGAATTTTAGATACGTTGCAAGCCTTTTAAAAGGGAGTACGCTCTTTTCTTTAAGGTCCCTAAGTCGTATCGGTCCTGAAAAATCTCTGGTGGTAGTCTATTCCACAAGGAAGTAATGCGAGGAAGAAAACTTCTTTTAAATCGCACAGTGGTGGACCGTCAGTCATCCAGATGGTATGAATGGTATCGCGAGTTTTGTCGCTATGTGCGATAGTGAAATTGTGCGGCTGGAATTAGTCAGAATAATTCCTTAGAGCACTCCCCGTTGTAAATGCGAAAAAATACGCAAAGAGATGCAATGCAATCAGAAAGAGTTCGGTCGCGGACGATTCGAACTGCTCTGCGCTGGATGCGATCAAATGGAAGGAGCTGGAACTGGGGGACCCAGCCCAGAGATGGGAACAGAAGAAGCCAATTTGGCCTTCTCTTCCAAGTGACCACGAAACTGCACGTCAATCGATATCTCGACGCCAAGGATTCCGATACTGGCTGAGGCAACAAGGGGAGTGCCTTGAAACTGATGAGATACGACGACGGGGTTCTTTTAAGCGGTAAACGTGCAAACTTTTATCTTTTGGGAATTGATCTGGACTAGATTTAGTCGCCCCCAGTCCAAGACTTTGTTAAACAAAGTCTCGACTTCAGACACAAGCGAGTTCCGATACTCGGCGACGTTTTCCCGAGAAATATTGGCACGGCCGGTATACATAGCCTCACCAGTGCTGTCATCTGCATAGCAATGAATGTTACCGATTTGCAACATGTCATTGATATGCAGAAGAAACAGCGTTGGCGATAGCACGTAGCCTTGTGGAACACAAGCGTTAATGAGCTTGTAATCTGAGCACGCTGCGTCTACTACGACCTTGATGCTCCCATCTGTAAGAAAACTGCTAATCCAATCGCACAATTTCTCGGGAAATGCATAGGAAAGAAGTTTCGTAAGAAGCGCTTTGTGCTAAACCCGATCGAAAGCCTTCACTATGTCCAAACTGACGGCCAATGAGTTAGGTAACCCAGAAGATGACTAGTCGAGGGACCGCGACGGAAACCGTACTGACGGTCACTAATAACCTGGTGATCCTCAAGGTACCGCATGAGCTGGCTGTTAATAACGAACTCCATTTTTTTTAGAGAACAAGGATGTGAGTGCGATAGGCCTACAGTTGGACAGATCAGATCTGTTACCTTTTTAGGGATCGATTTTTAATAGGTAATTAAAAGAAATAAGGAAGTAAAGTTATTGTCTTAAGTTTCAAAAGTTATTAACATATAAGGCGCCAGCCTAAAACGTTAACGTTTATATACCTAGTTTTCAAACTACGATGCCCCTGGAGTAATGAGCAAACTATTTATTTGATTTAAAGTTGTTGGTGAAATGCTAAAATAATAGTTCAAAGGCTCCAAGGATCAAAACATTTTAGTATTTAAATGAAAATTTGAGATGATACTTATAATAAATGATAAATAAAATGATAATAACCGATTCCAATACCGATTTTTATAAAAGTAAAGCATTAGCAATTTTGCCACGTATTCAAAATGCTCCTCGTTAAAACAGTTATGTATTTTTGCTAAATATAAATAAATAATTGTCGCATTAACATTTTGTGGCTATGTTTGACGTCAAAGCACACTTACACACTACATACTGTAGCTGTTTTACGGCTACAGTGCTATTGGGTCATCTCGACTGGGAAAGTAACACGCTCGCAAAGAATACTAACAGGTTTTTCTGGATCAATATATTATGGACCAAGTGATTAATTAGGGAATTATTTATAATGCCCGGAGAGTATTAATAATGACAAGTGAAATTCAGCTGTATAACTAATTCTGATTTAAGCTTCGTTATTTATCGCATTGTGTGGTTATTATGAATATTGCTACGAAACCATTTGGGCAATTTGTAATAACCTATTCTAACCAAATTTATGTTGATCACTTTTAAGAAATTTAAAATTAACAAGTGCAAAATGTGAAGGAAGGCAAAACCCACTTTGCAGTATAATATTAAAAGCAATGGGTTACAAATAAAAATACCTTTGATAAAAAAATGCAAGAAAAACCTAACTTCACCTGACTTATCATTTTATTATCATGCCCGATTAGATACGGACTTTATTTATAACGCCAGGTCAATTTAATTATTTTAATAGTTTTTATCACATTGCCTACTCATTTTGGGCATTATTTATATTGCCCGGGCGTTGTGAAAAATACCCTATTAATGACTTAGCCTATAACAGAAACGATTTAAAAACCTTCAAGAAAAGAACCTAGTCCTTTTGAAAAAGCTAAGAACGCACCTGTATTTCCTCAGGTGTTACAAATGTTCATTGGCGGGATTAGTGACTGCCTGTCAGTTTAGCCGTATGCTCATTTACTTCATGAGGCCTTTGAAGAGAATTAGGGACCCTTTTACTAAAACGATCCATTTAACACCTCAGGAGTGACAATACTACTGCATTTTGATTCTAATCTAGCATAGAAGTAGATGTATATAGGCATATGACATTGTTCAAGACGTATATGAACATATTACATATTTATTTATTCGTTATTGCTATAGCTGCCAAAACGTGTATGAGTCATAGCATTCACTTACCATCATGTAAGGTGATAGTTTGTCTGTCACTCTTATATTAGAAGAAAACAAATCGAACGATAAGAAAAACAATAACTTACTTAATTCCTCTTCCTTGATAGTTATATTCGACTGGCGGAATTTTTAAAGATTTTAGCGACGGAATCGTTAACATGTCTGCTTGCCATTTTGTCAAGAAACTGAGAATATTCTTCTCCAAAGGGTTTCTTGCTGAAATAAAAAATAAGTAACGTAAATCGTGGTAACTGAGTAGTACCATTCTTAGTATCAGCCCGAGCTGAATACTTTCCCCAGCGAGAGATTTTCCACGGCCAAATAGGTGACGAATTACGGAACGAAATATGAACACCGCAATATGCAACCTTCGGAAACTCCGTCTTCAAGCTTCAAATTCAAATTCAAATTCAAATTAAATTAAATTATTCAAATTAATTTTATTTGCCAGAATGTAGGTGTACAATAAAGTATGATCTTAAATTATATCTAATGGCCCATTTACATTCTACCACTACATATGGTGTGCAAACATTTTATAGGTATATGATATATGCAAAAAATTATTTAAACAGAAAATAGAAATTATTAAAAACAAATTGATTATCTGAAGTCAAAATTATCATGTCAATTCAAACGATAAATCTTAAAATGTCAGATTATTTAGTAAGGTATACATTTATAATTATTAAAAACAAATTAATTAATTGCAGTCATAATTATAATGTCAATTTAAATGAAAATTTTTAAAATGTTAGATCATGTAATAAACGTACTATTTAGTTACCTATATATGTATCAATATTACTGATGTCAGATTTATTTTTCGCAATAAGATATAAATTCCTTGAAGTCGTAAAAACATTTTTCCTTTAACCATTGTGTCAACTTTTTTTTAAACATGGTTAGAGGTAATTCTTTAAATGAGTTGGGCAATTTGTTATATACCTTTATAGCATTAACATAAGAATTCCTTTTATGCAATTCTAGTCTGCATTGAGGTAAATAGAGCTTATGTTTATTTCTAGGAGCTACATTTCGTTTACTTACATCTATATGCTTTTCAAAGTGTTCCGGATGTTGTTTTACAAATAGGCATACTTCTTTAATGTACAAGCATGGTAATGTCAAGATATTGTACTTTTTAAACAAAGGCTTACAGCTATCCGTACACCAGGCTCCATAGATTGCACGCACACATTTCTTTTGTACTCTAAACACTTTTATTATATCCACCGAATTGCCCCACAATAAAATACCATATGAGAGTACGGACGAAACATAACCGTGATATGCACATAGAGCAGCTTCAGTTGATACCGTGACTCGTAATCTTTTTATAGCATAGACAAATCTGTCGAGTTTGTCACAAATGTAATCGACATGAGTTTTCCAGTTGCAATTTTGATCCAACATTATACCCAGAAATTTTGTACTTACTACTTGTTCGATGATTGTATCATTATATTTAACATTAATATTCAATGGTTGTCTTTTAGATGTTTGAAATTGGATCATTTTAGTTTTATCAATATTAATTTGTAAATTATTACAATAAAGCCAGTCTATTATGTTTTTAATAGCCATATTTACCTCTAGTTCATATGTATCTGCATTTTCACATTTCACGATAACGGTTGTGTCATCAGCAAACAAGATTGTGTTGTGGCGAGTGATATTAGGGAGATCCTTAATATAAATGAGGAATAAAAATGGTCCCAATATACTGCCTTGTGGCACGCCAAAATTAATTGACTGATAGTCACTTCTATATAAAACTTTTTTGTCTTTATGGATTTTAGATATTTCCACGCATTGTTGTCTGTCACATAAGTAAGTTCTCAACCAGCTTGTCATTATTGTCCTCAAGAATACCTTCCTCAAAATCCTGACTTGTGACATCCATTACAGCCCATTCTATTATTATATAATTCTACTGCTGAAAATAGGCCTCCCCCATAGATTGCCTCATAGGTGGGATATTTGTCATAGTTGCCACACTTGGCAAGCGCGTTGGCAAACGCAGTTTTTTTTTTATTTAAGTTCCTATCAGATTCGGATTTATTGTTGAATATTTGATATATTAACGTAAATGTATATAAAAAGCAAACATTTTCAACGCAGTAGTGGTAAATAATTTCATCTTGTTATCTTTTAGAGAGGCTTATACAACTGTTTTGAGCAAACAAGAGAAATCTACATAGATAAATCTCAATTAAATTAATGTCAACATTTGCACATCATATTTTCCCTAGATATACGCACAAGATTTGTATACTAACAGGTAATCACATTAAGCAATGAATAAAAACATCTTTATTTCCACGTCATTGTAATGTCTGATTTTTTAATGATAAATGTAACAAGCAACCACACAGTCCACTAAATGTAAGTGGCTGCTGTGGCCCATAGACATTTACACCTATTCACGTTTGCGAATCAAAATGCAGATGCGTTGTCAGCCGTGAGGACTAAGATGGAATATCCCGTTTCCAGTAAAAAGGTCTCCGGTACTCTACACTCACCATTCAAAAAACAGCAGCATTAAGCTGCTATTTTACGTTGGTATTCTGTGAGAGTGTGGTCCTTCCCCGGTCGAGCCGACCCATTCCTGCTACATCTATACAATTAATATAGCTGCAGCATAGTTCTGCTACGTTTAAAAGGTTTTCTTTAATGATTACAATGGAAACATGTAAATTAACAAAAGAGTCGTGGTAGTTTAGGCGCTAAGCTTTACAATATACTAAAGATCTGCCCCGGCTTCGCACGGTTGATTTCTAGATCTTGACGACAGCGCCACCTATTGGGTCCAATTGGTGATTTTAATCATCTTGTGAGTAACTAAGTGCTGATTTTGCACGTGCTCAGCGGTAAAGGGATGCATCGTGAGGAAACGACTGAGGAATGATTTTTTTTGAGGACATATGAAGCCAACACGCACTAGAGTGATTCTGCGGACTGATTGACTAATTGGGTTAACACAACTCTTCCAGAAATGAGAGAAGACAGGGAGACGTAATAAATAGAGAAAAAATATTTTCATCATCATCATCACCATCGTTATAGCCCTTTACAAGTCCACACACACAAATGAATGCCGCAAAGCACGGGCTTAAGCTGCCTTGGCCGGTTTTTTCAATAAATATGTTTTACTTTAGGGGTGGTGAAATATAAATTTGGTGAAAATATTTATCCCGAAGGACTGAAAAATGTAGGATGAAGTTTTTAGTGTAACTTTTTAGACGGCATTGACATTGTAATATTCCATCAACTCATAACAATAAAAATTACCTTTTTTTTATTCTACAATAATTTAAAGGACATTTAACGCTTAGAGTATGTCAGTCCCATCATACCCTAACATACATGACTTACTCATTTAACGTTAGTTAATACTTAATATACTACGTGGGCCATGGATTCGAACAGAACTTTCGCATCGTCACCATTTGGTTGGGATAGAATATTATGAAATGTGCCTACGTCAGTTCTGTTCAAATTCTCTTATGAAATTACTTCTAGTAGACTCAAATCAATTAATGGTAATAATAAAAGTTTTTTTATTCGATTTAAGAAAGATGCGCCATGTAGTGGCGGCGTAAGAATATCCACTACCCCATATCATTCCATGGGTATCGTAAGAGGCGACAGATGGAAACTGAAGCAGAAGACAACAAAAACAAAACTGAAAACACAAAAACACTGGCGTTACCAACCCACCTACCAAGTGTCGCAACTACGGCAATATCCGCTCCACAAGAAAATCTATAGGGGAGCCATATATTCAGCAGTGGACTTTTGACAGGCTTTAATGAGTACATGTGTGATATAGGTAATGTGTTAATGAAATATGTGTGTTGCTGCTTCTATAACTTTAATAAGACTGATCTCTATTCTTAACCTAATTCTAATATATATATATATATATATATATATATGTATATATAGTCGTGGAGGCTATACTACACTACACATGAATTATAGATATATGTGTCTATGGACTGTATTCTACTTCCCATATAGTGGACGACTCTCACTTATAGAAAAGGATTAATGAAAGTGTAGAAATTAAATTTACCTCGGTAGCGTAAAATGTTTACAGAATACAAATCCAATATTCGAAACGTACAAAATACGAAAGAAGATATTTTCTTCGCTCTTCATAAATCGGAAGAGGATTATTTGATATTTTATTAACTCGATTTTGTCCACGCAGTGACGACAGAGCTAATAGTTTTCTCTGAAGGAACTAATTATTTTAGATTAGATCCGCGTGGAAATGGTGTGTATTCACTAGTTTGAATGGTACCACCCTTCCTCCACTGTTACGTGCACTATAATTTCCACAAATACCCCTAATACTCCTCTAATCTCTACAATAGGAAATACTCCAACGTCGATAATACACGTGTTTCGCCTCTAAACGTTACCTCATTAGCAGTAATTCGACACAGATTCAAAGTTGGTTAACCACTAAGTATACATATTTATAATAACGTAATAATAATTCGCTTGCATCTTAGCTGTATTTTGGACTCGGGAAATAAAACAGTAAAAAATAATAATGATCTAAGTGGCACAAGTATGAGTATATGAGAGATGACAACATATTAGTGCCATTTGCTGTAGACATTATCGGACCGTGGGGTTTACGTGCAGTAAAATTGTCGTCGCCGTTGGTGATAAGACGACTACTTTTTTTTAAATTCAAATGCCACTACAGTCATTTATCTAGTAAACGCGGCCAGTGTCCTTGGCTCTAAGCCGCGGGGACTAGAATTGTATGATAATTTAAGTGTTTAGTTTAAGTTTTTCTTTTAATTATAATAATATACATCCCATAATATATTTTTATATAAAAAAAAATTTAATTTTATAGGAAAATAATAATTAATAAACTTGTGATCGAATCCAACTTTCCTTTGTATGTACTATAAACTTTTCATACTGTATTTATCATTTGATTTTGTGCGTTTCATAGCCTAACTTTACATTACTACTGTGATTATAACATATATTATATAATTATTAATATTATTGTTTATAATTCTGTCACTTATATTCTGACAACGTGACTGACATAAATTTGACCTTGATTCATAAAATCAGGCTATTTAACATATCTATTCCTTAAATAGGATCAACCAAACCCTTATACATATAAAAGTTATATTACTTGTGGCAAATGTTATTATAAAGCATATTAAAAACTTACGTATAATTCGTCCATTGATTGCAACAGCGAGCAATAATATTACCCACATGTAATAAGACATGACAAATATGAAACAGGTACAGCACAACAATATCTCTCAACTGACTGAACATTATCATTTGTAGAGTCTTTCGTTTATATACCGTAATTATAAGCTTAAATGTTTAAGATATTTGCTCAATTACAAAACGTGGGCATATACGCTAATCATAAATTAATGGCTTATTTTAATTAATTACCCTTCCGAGTGATTGAGGTCACCAAACACATCTTTTTCTGCTTATAAAATATGTTAATAGTACGTTAAAATGTGTGCGGTGTAATAGTGGCGTAAGAAAAAACCGCAACCCCAAGCCATCCCGTGAGTAACGTAAGAGGTTATAGAGAGAAATAGAACAGATTATGGGCAGCAACATTTTCTTGGATTTTATGGAACTGGACTTGTGAAACCGTAGAACGGGCGCATCTGGGGCGCAGGCTAATGAAATGACGACATCTTCCTGATAAAACTTAATGACAATAGAAACTGCGGTTTCCAACTCTCCTGCCAACCGTGGCAACTATGGAAAACATGTTAAGCAGTGGACTTTAGATAATATATGAATACATTTTTATGTTCTTCATATAAAAAAGCTTTTAGAAAAATTTACTTCGTAAATATCCGCGTTATAAAATAAAATGATATGTCTTACCTAGTATGAAGAGCACCTCCCGCCCTCCTTCAATTGCGTGCACTATCCCCGTCACCATTAATCCCAGCACCGCTACTCCCAACACCACTACACTAGGCAAGACACACCACTGACGACAATACGACACGTGTTTCGCCTCTACACGAGGCATCCTCAAGTGATATAGACTCTACGGTGGCTAACCGCTAAGTTTAAGACTTGTTGGGAGTAGCGGTGCTGGGATTAGTGGTGACGGCGATAGTGCATTCAATTGAGGGAGGGCGGGACGTGCTCTTCATACTAGGTAAGACACATCATTTTATTTTATAACGCGGATATTTGCGAAGTAAATTTTTCTAAAAGCTTTTATATAATGGATTTCCGCAAAGTAACGCCTGATTCTATTAATTATATTCTTCATATAAAGCATTCTTTTGAAAACAATGCTGGCAACGAGGCATTCCATTTTAGTCCTCAGGGGTGAAAACGCGTCTGCATTTCGATTTTTTATCTTGTATAAAAAATCAAAATGCAGACTGGATTTAGAAAGGGGATGGGGTGTACGGATCAAGTCTTTTCCATGAGCATGATTGCGGAGAAATTTTTGCCCAAAAACCAGAATTTTTTTTGTGCGTTCATGGACTTGGAAAAGGCTTATGACAGAGTGGACAGGAATTTGTTATGGCAAACACTGACCTCATTTGGGTTGAGCGCTGGTCTGATACAGGCATTAAAGTCTCTTTATAGGGACTCTAGTGCTTGTGTCAGGATCAACGGGGCCTACTCGGACTGGTTTGGCATTCAAAAAGGTGTCAAACATGGCTGTGTAGTTTCTCCGTGGCTGTTTAACCTATTTATGGTCAGTTGTTTGCAAACTTTGAAAGTTGAAGAATGTGGATTGAGAATGGGTGAGTTAACCGTCAAATGCCTGTTGTACGCCGATGATCATGTCATATTTGCATCGTCGGCGGCCGAGTAGCAAATGATGGTTACTTAAATGAACTGGTCATTAAAAGAAGGGGGTATGAAAGTGAACGCAAGTAAGACGAAAGTGGTGGTTTTTGAAAGAAAAGAAAGTAAAACGTTATGTGAAATAAGAATAGAAGGGGAGTTGATTGAGCAAGTGGATGAGTTTGTATATTTGGGATGTTTATTTAGCAGGGATGGTAGATATGATAAGGATATAGAACGACGAGTGAACGCAGGAAATAGAGTTAATGGAGCTCTACACGCTATTATGAAGAGTCAGAATGTATCAAAGAAGGCACGTATGGCAATTCATAATGCTGTGTTAGTCCCTACTTTAATGTATGGTAGTGAAAATTAGGTATAGCAGAAGAAGCATGAGAGTAGAATAAAGGCTGTATAAATGCGGTCATTAAGGAGTATGCTAGTGCTGAATCTGAATGACAGGGTGAGACATAGTGGTAAGAGAAAAGTGTGGTTTGCAAGAAGACGTTGTGACTAGAATTAAAAAAGGAATGCTTCGGTGGTTTGGTCACCTAGAAAGAATGAAAGAGGAAAGAGTGACAAAGCAAATTTATGTTTCAGAAGTGAACGGCAAAGTCGGGAAGGGACGCCATAGACGAAGATTTTTCGACCAAATCGGCGATACATTGAAAATGGGCCAGATTAGGAGTACCCTTAACCGACGAGCGTGTAAAGGAGGCGAGAGAGGTGTGTCAGGATCGCGCCAAATAGAAGTCCGTAGTCTCTGCCTACCCCTCTGGGTGACAGGCGTGAGTGTTTGTATTGTATCTTGGATAGATCTAGATTTCTATAGGCCACATCATCCACTTACCTTCTGATGGACTGTGTGCTCGCCCTTCACATTTATTTAATAAAAAATATAAGGAGGAGCCCTATATTCGGAAATCTTCCGCTGGATCTTAGAAGGCTGGTGCTTACGGGCGCACGTCTTTCTTGTCCCCATGGCCTCCTCCTAACGGACAAAGGATTATTTGCTAAGTTGGAGATGAATACCGTGTAGAAAAGCGCGCTCGCCTGAGGTTAAAAGAAGAGAAGTTGTCGTCTGTCGAGGAGGGGCTGCCCTGGATCTACTAGCGCAGGTGTGGCCGCGGTAGTAAATGTGCGGCGAAGGAGCACCATTTGGTTTTAGTTGATATGAGCCCGATGTAATCGATCCTTGTCCCTGCGATGCGGGTATGCGTATGCATTTCCCAATGTCAATAAAAGTAATAAAACCTATAAATAAATCAAACTTCACACTCACAAAAATACACACAAAAATTCTCATTTTTTCTCATCGCGATTAAGGTGCCACGTGCTCGGCATTGAAAATAACATCTTTACTAAATCTACTTGTCCTTGTGACATTTAATCGGGGCAGTGCTGTCGACTATTTCCTCGTCGAAAGCCCATCTCATGACATATGTATGTTGACGAAGGTGGTGGAGATCGGCAAAAATAAACGGCGAATTACAAATATGTGTCACCGGCATAATTGTCTTATCGTCTTACCTTAATGGCCAAGTAATCAACATAGATAGTCTAAACATCTTCAGTCCCCTCTGTCTTCCGGACCTCGTAGTTTATTAGCTTCGGTCGTCCAATTTTTTCCTTTTTTACACATATTAAAGCATAATAATATGAAAATAATAAACATATCTTATTACAGATTAAAAATAACAAGTACAGTATTATTTTCGTATCTGTGTTAATGGTAATAAAAACTACAATATTTTTTTAATGAAAAGTAAGGAGTAAGTAAGCTATTAATAACGCTATTAAAATCACTAATACTCTGGTTAACTACTTCAAGTAAGTACCTAGCTAAAATGCAGTGTTATCAATGGTTTACGACAGTCGAATGGCGGTATCGAACCTACGACTTTGTATGCTTGCGGTCCGCATCCGTAACTATTAGGCCACATTTACTACACTAATAATTTAAAGGTACATGTTTGTTTAAACATAAAAATCATTATTTATAAGTACTTAACCTCGCACTTAACGTCTTACTTACTTCTAGAATTTTAGGCCAAGGCAACTGCTTAGTATTTGTTACATATTGATAAGAACATTAAGATAACATTAGAAAAATCCATGCTAATGATCACATCCATTTAAAGAGTTAAAATTAGTACTTTAAAAAAGTAATTAGGTAACCGATATCCCTTAATTTGATTATGACTATATTAATATTATACGTGGTAGAGCCATGCTGCAGCTATATTATGGTTAAATATTGATATCGGTAAGTAATATTTACCTATTTGTGTTTTTGATGAAACTATTACTAACCGACACTATTTCATAAAATATTCAGAAAATTCTTAATATTTAAATGCTAGTTTACTAAGCCTTTAATCTACATATGAAATTCGTTGGAATCAAGTTATGACTAATAGGCGATTCTTCACGATTTTTTTCCAAAAAAAAAAACTAAAATGCTCTAATGGAAAGTTTCCAATATGTCGCTTGGTAATTATTGCCTTTCTCTATGATCTGCCGTGAATACGAAAGTTGAGTAAAATAAGAAAGAAAATACTTCGAAGGACTTTCTATTTTCCTAAGAATCGTCATCAGTTTTCGCGGTTTCTTTCTGTTAGTAAGTATAACTGAATCGTAACCAGAAACTCAAATAGCATTTTGGTGCATTTTGAAGCATTTTGGTGAGAGTCTGTTTCAGATGTTTAATAATTGAATAGTTGTGTAGGTCTACGTGGTGACTACTGAATGCAAAGCATTTTTCTTCAATACCAAATCTTAAACACATCGATTTGGTTAGTTAGCCTGTACAATATACTGTCTAATTAATAATTAGTATAATATTATACTATATACCCACAGATTCCTATATCTAACATCGATTAAGAAAAAAAATGCAGACGCGTTGTCAACAATGAAGGCAAAAACAAAAAATCACGTTAAAAACGAAAAAAGAAAATACAGATGTATTGATAACCTTCTGACATTAGGTCTTCGGAAATATGTAAATAATACGTTTATATGTAAATAATATTTTTCTTAGAAAGCTTGAGACAGAAATACATTTTTAACGTCAAAGTTATAGCGAACACTTTTAAAAATTACTTTTGCGCTTAAAGATGACTTGATTACGCTAAAATGCTAATGCTTGTTTGACATTTGATATCGCAGAATAACTTAGAGTAATATATTACTTTCCTAAAAAGCTAAAATAAAATTTCGACAAATTCTCCTGTCTCATTTAAATTGAATTTTTCTGTTTGTCTAAAATATGGTATATTCAAAATACTTTTTAAATTATGCAGATTATTCCTGCTGAATTAATATAAAATCTTTTATAAGTATTTGTAGAGATCTTTAGAAATACACACATAACGTCATGTAATTATATAAAAATAATCAAATGGATGTACCAAGTGTGATATATTTTTATATTTGACTAAATTGTTGGTCCAGTTCGGTTGTTGACCAAGAAGTTCTGGGTTCGAA